GGGAGGGAGGGGAAAAAATGAGGAGCTGATGCCAGGGGCTTAGGTAGAGAGCAGATGTTTTAAGAATGATGAGGGCAATGAATGCACAAATGTACCTTACACAATTGATATATGGATGGATTGTGATGAGTTATATGAGCCCCTAATAAAACGATTTTAAAAAATGAATAAATATTTTTTTAAAAGAAAAGGAATCAAATTCTAGGCATCGGCTTGGCTAGGCTTCCAATATTCCCATCTACGAAGCAAGTATGGCTTTCCCCCATGTATTTCAGGGCTTGGAATGACATTTGTAGATGACTGCTCCAATGAGGGAAATGTGTGGACCCCGTGCATGGATCCACGGTGAAGGCTGCAAGCACGTAAGGCTTCCTCCAAAGAGGAATGTGATGCAGGAACAACCTGCAAAGTCGTCTGGTGCCATTCCAGAGAAGATGGCCACGCGTATTCTTGCACTGAGAGCCAAATTCTTCTTCTTCCTTGTGCTTTCTCTTCCTGGAGAGCATGTCCGTGATGAAAGGAGATCACCTTCCGTGGGCCGAGTCCGTAGCGTTTCTCTGTATGTCATTACAACCCTGGTACGGCCGTTTTCCACCACTGCCCGGCTTCACCCGCACACCTAGGAAGACGTGTGTGGGCACACCGTGGGCCCGGACGTCGACACCTCCAGACAACACAAGAAGAAATCATGGGAGCGAAGCGCGGGGGTTGCCTCGTGGGTTCTTGAGATGGAGGCTTCCTGGGTTCTGACGGAGGCGTTGTGCAAGCCAGGAGCCCTGGTGGCGCAGTGGCTAAAGGGTTAAAGGCTGAAAAGTGAAAGGTCGACGGGTGGAGCCCACCAGCCGCTCCTTGGGGGGGAAAGGTGTGGCAGGCTGGAGACCCCGTGGGGCACTTCCTAATTTGTCCTACAGAGTGGCTGTGGGTTAGTCGCACACACACAGGAGGGCTCACTGACGACTCATCAGAAAGACAGACTGCGCCGCGCAGCAGAGCAGACTGATCTGCCCCGTCTACCCACCTGATCGCTCTCGTTGCCTCACCGCCCCTTTTATTCCGGAAGAAAACATTGGATCAGGATGCTAGTCCTTCTTTGGCTCTTGTTCTCCTTGACTTGTAAAATGCTTGCTTCGGGTGTGCTGCATTGGCTATCGCCCATTGTCTAATCCTCTCTGTCCCCTGCACTGCCCTTAGCTGGGGGTCATAGATGTCTCTCTGTCCTCAATTACAACAGCCAACCAACCAGCTGTGCTTGACCCGCGCGATCCACATGTCTCCGCGCACACCTGGGCCCCGTGGGCTTGTCAACGGCTCGTGGTTTCCAGATGGAGGGGACCAGGCCTTTGCTCCCCAGACCCTCCTGGGTGGATTTCAACTGCCAACCTTTCTGACCAGCAGTCGAGCACGCAATCATGGGTCCCAGTCAGGAGCCACTGCGTTCCTTCAGTCACACAGGCTGATGCTTTCGCTGGTCATGATGAAGGAGCCCTGGTGGAACAGTGGTTGAGCACTCTGCTGCTAACTGAAAGGTCGATGGTTCAAATCCACCAGCTGCTCCATGGGAGAAAAGGGAGGCAGCCTGCTTCCTTGAAGATCGCAACCTTGGAAACCCCATGGGGTGTTCCACGCTGTTAACATCAACTCCACGGTAACAGGCTCGGGGTTTTCCGGGATGATTCAAACATCCTTCTATTCTCCTTCCTTCTTTCCTGCCTGTATCGTTACTCCTTCCTGCCTTCCTTTTCACTTTCCCTCTCAATCATCCATGACAAAATCGTGTGCTCAGTCCTTCTGCTAACGTGGCTATGATAAGGAAACCTTTCACATCTCAAACAAATTAATGATCCGCAATTGTTTTGTGTTTCTCCCAAAGAAAGGCCAACTTTCACCTCCCTGTGACCCCAATCCGTGTGTCTCCAAACCCTGGGCTGGAGTCCCAGGTGGAAGCAGCACAGACACGCCACCGTTGGTGAGAACCCCCAAGCATGGTGGGTTGGCACAAAATGCCGACCCGACTGTTCTATGATGAGGACTCCCCGCCAGCCATGGGACGGAAACATGGCTTTGGGGAGTGCATGTCTATACCTCAAAGGCCCAGCCGACATCACCTCTCTGAGGATGCATGCCCTACCCCAGCCCTTGTTAGCATTACCTTTTGTCCCTTCTGCCACCACAGTACGGGGGCAACAGGGGGACAGTGGCCCGGGCCTCCTTTCTGCGATGTGCCCTGCTCCTCCACTCAGGAGAGTGACGAAGACAAGGCCAGGCCGATGGTAGGTGCTCATAAAGATGGGTTGAATCAACAGCAGGAACTGTCTCTGGTTCTACACAGTTCAAGAAGCCGAACCAAACTCACTGCTGTCATGTCTATCCCCACTCCCAGCAGCCCTATAGGACAGCGGAGACGTGCTCCTCGGGGTTTGCAAGGCTGTGCGTCTTTCCTGAGCAGACGGCCTCGTCTCCCTCCCACATAGCAGCCGGTGGTCTGAACACCCAGCTTTCCACGAGCAGCCCGATGCTCAGCCCACTGCACCTGAGCTCAGTAGTTCCCTAAACATACAAGCTGGTATTGAACGGTTCTTCTTCTTTTCTTACTGCGTGAATAATACAGACTTAGATTCAAATGGAACAAGCAATATACGCATCGGTACTTACGACAACTTTAACGTGTTTGGATAGATCCCTCGAACTCCTCTGTAGGAAATCAGAAAAGGCTGCCTGCATCACAAGGAAACAAAGGAGAAAGAAGAAGAAAGGAAGGAGGAAGAGGAAGAGGAGGAGAGGAAGAGGAAGAAGAAAAACCTTCTTGGTTACATGCTTCTACCAAACCCTTGCTGCCATGGGATGGACAGCTTGCCACGATGCCAAACTGTTCAAAACGAGAAGGCGGGTTCTCCTTTTTCTCCTGACCAAAGGAGGGCGGTGCGTTGGCCAGTACATGGGATACTTTCTCTTGGTTTGCACACTTTCATCAACAAGGGAATGTGAGATCCCAGGAAGAAAGCCAAACACTGGATCACTTCCGGGGCAGATCTGTTTGACCATCTTCCTACTTTCCCTACCTGTGCTTCTGAGCACCTTGCTCCATCAACCTCGCAGCTCCTAATCCAACCCAGCGCCATGGAGTTGATGTTGGTACACAGCAACCCGAAAGAACCCGGTAGAACTGCCCCTGGGCTCCCAAGGCTGTAACTATGGCAATAGAAAGTCTCCTCTTTCTCCCATAGAGCTGTGGTGGATTCAAACTGCTGACCTCATTGTTAGCAGCCCGGCATGCTCCCCCTCAGTGCACCCGATCTTCAAGCCACCCTCCCTTAGCAATCTTTTAGAAGCCTTTTCTTTCCTCCAGTCAGGATGTCCCTGGGGGCAAGGAGGCAAACATATCCTTTGCTCTTCCAATTTCTCATCCAGATGCTCTTGTGCCCCTGCACCTGGGAAAACTATGTTCCCATCAGCAACCTGCACACACGTTTCCAGTCCCCGCCCTTCCTGGCTTCCAAGAGCTCCCGGAGGTGTATTTTTAACTGCGCTCTTGAAATATCCTCTCCTCTCTACAACATGGCAACTCAAGGGCTGACTAGCTCCAAGAGGATGAACACAGGCTCTCCTCCGGACAGCTCACTTCAGAAACGCTCCTGGATTCTTCTCCTGAAGTCCCAACAGTAGGCATTTGCAAAAGCAATCATATCCATGTAAGCATGGAGGAGGCAGTACAGGACCCATGGTGCGCATCATTCTCGCTGACTGGGAATGAGTCTGAAAGGAGAGGCACTTTCTGGTGCACAGGCTGTAACTTCACCAGTAGGAGTGTTTGAGTCACTCGGACAAGAGCAGGAAAGTATAAGGTAGCAGCTGTACTTACCCCCGCATAGAACATTTTATTTCGAAAACGGCTGTTGAACTTTTCTGGATTGGCTTCTGTGGGAGAAGAAAGGAAGACAGTGTTGTAGAGACCTCAGCAACGGTAGCCCTGCCCATGAGCAGCCCTCCTGTCCTCCTGACAGATACCCGAGGTCCCAGAGCTTCTCAACCCGCTCTCCCTCAGCTTCGGCTCAGTTGGGCCAGCGCAATGAAAGCTCAGTCCCCAAAAGGCAGCATGGCCTCAGCAGGGAGCTTGTTAGAAGTGCCAAGGGTGGAGCCCTCTCCTCCAGAACCAAACCAACTGCCGTCGAGTCAGTTCCGACTCACAGATTCCATGGGACAGAGAAGAACTGCTCCATACAGCTTCTGACCCTCAGTCTTTACAGAAACCGGCAGGCTCATCTTTCTTCTGAAGAACGGTTGGTGGGTTTGAACTACTAACCTCGTGATTTGTAGTGAAATACTTTATCCACTGTGTCACTGTGTCCTTGGGCCTGCTGCAGGCCCAAGGAATGAGAATTTCTGGGGGTGGGTGCTCAGGAGCTCGATCTGACAGGCCAACCAGATGACCCTAGCACACAGTCAAGGCTGAGAGGCTCTGGCCTCTAATCAGAACGGAGGGTTGGTGGAGACACAGGGTGGTGTTGGGAAGGGAAGGGTGGGGGGAGTGAGGGGTGGCTAGGTGCTCTGACTTCCACAGGGCATGGCTTCTATGAGCTATGTACGCAGCTTACATGTAACCAAATAGGAGGATCTGCTTGACCATTGGGCAAAATGCTGACAAGTCACCTGCTGTCTCGAGAGTGAGAGGCCTGGAGAAATCCTTTGGTTTAGTTGGTCTCAGATGCAGGTGGCTACCGTGACATCCAGAAACTTTTATCACCACGAAGGCACTCACTGGGAAGTGGTTTCACTGTGACTTTGCTCCCACGCGTTATACGCGTTACAGAACACACACAAGAGCCCACAAGGACCAACAACGGTGATATTGCACACGGATTCTGAAGATTTTAAAATACCTGAAACCAAACACCGAACTCCCTGCCACGGAGTCCATTCCGACTCCTTGCAACCCAGAACTGTCCCTGTGGCTTCTGAAACTGGAGTTGAAAGTCTCCTCTCTCCTCCAAAAAGACGCTGGTGGTTTTGAACTACTGATCTTGTGGTTAGCAGGCCAACCCACAAAATACCTAACTGTGCAGATAGATAGGTGTGGGTAACTAACCCTGAGGGAAATATGACTAGGACAATATTCCCTAACATAACAGAGGGAATCTGGAAAGCTAATATTCCATGGTAGGAAAGCCACCACTTTGGTTAACTTCCAAGTACATGATCCTGCTTTAAATATCACTCCCACAGATTCTCCCCTAACAGATATGCTGCCTTCAAGTGAGCGCATGGTTGATTTTATCCCCCTACAGAAGCAGACATCCTGTTGCTCTCTCTTCCTGCAGTGTCACCCAGCCCCTCTCATCCCTTCCCCCAATGCAGGCATTCAGTTTCCTCACCTGTGACCCTACTGTAGACCCCACCCACGTTGTGACGTATGAAACTACTGAATATGCATGTCTTATGCTACCTATAAATACCTATAAATATCCCAATATAGTAAGGTCTCTCTATCTTCTCCCACCTCCACATGGACCACCGAGAGGGGCTGAGGTGAGCATGCTACCATAAAATGTGTCTGACTCCTTTATTTAATTCTCTCTCCTATCTTTCCTGTCCTCTATGACTGTACTATGGTCTTCATATATCATAGCTATACAATTGTGCCTACTGACCCTTTGGATGTAAGAGGCTGGTTTCCTGTGACAGATTGGTAGGTAAGTAGGTAATTTCATCATGGTTTTCCCTAATAAGGACAATTCCCAAGAATCCACTGTCCATGTCTTTGCTTTCTCCCTTGCTGCACATCCCCCTTGCTGCACATCCCCATCAGCTCATTCTGGGGGCTAGGCTTTCCCGGAGCCATGTCTCACCAGCAAGCTGGCCAATGTGCTAACACTCTCCGTATCCTACCCCTGTTTTTGAACAGCCACGCTCAGCTCTCAGTCACTAGATGAAGAGAAGGCGCAAAGGGTTCACTCCCAAAGACAGGGCCAAACAAAAGCCACCAGACTCTGGAAATCGTTCATCGATTCATCATCGTTCTTTCTGTAGAACGGACCCTGAGCTCCAATTTCATGTGCTTAGTTTCTGTTTCTCAAACTTTTCTGAAACACCCCCTTTAGTCTACCAAGATAAGCACTCGAAGTCCTGGAACAAAGTAATACTGAAGGCAAACGGTGAATGTATTGGACAAATGAGGGGGGCTTCAAAAAGTTCCTGGGGTAAAACAAACCAGGCGTACTGGTCAGATAGAAACTGGTGGAGCCCTAAAGACGATGGCCCTTTGTCACAGGTCTGGAAAGGAACCCACCCCCATGGCCCAGCGTTCAGTCACAGTCTCAGAGACCCGCAGGGGCGGCTCTAGCCTGTCCTGTAGGGTCGCTGTGAGTCAGAGCTGACTCGATGGCGGTGAGTTTGATAAGTGGGTCTATCAGGGGAACATTCACACAGAAAAGGTGCCAACACTCCAGAACTGTCAATCATGTGAGATCAAAAGAGCGGCATTTACGCAAGGGCAGAGTTGTAAAGAGTCGGGAAAGAAGGAATGCAAACAGGAAACAGTGGGAAGAAGTGTGCTGTGTGATGGTTCATGGTGGGGACTGAGGTCAACGAGATGAAATAAAACGTGTTTGACTTGTGGAATGGAAAACCGAAAGCTTCATCCAGAGTTCAGAGGGCAGAGTTCAGAGGAAAATGGAATGAAAGGATAGAGGGATTTTCCCATGAATTTTTTTAAAGGCCCCCAATTAGCACCAGACAAACAGATGATCAAGCTGGTGCTCATCCCTCTGCCTGCTGATCTCCCATTCGGGGCAGCAGGCTTGGCCATTTTCACAATGTGCTCCATCGTCTTGGGACACATTAGGCCGGTGGGTGGTGGGTGTTTAGACCTTTTGTGATGTAGATTTGGCTGGGTACCCGGTTCAGTTATGTTCACTTTTCCCTCCTGATGGAACCACAGGAAAACTAAGAATCATTAGGACTGGGCCATTTATCACAGGTTTATCAGCCTTTTCACGGGCTCTGGCTTTTAAAAACTAAAGCAAAAGCCAGCACCAGCTGAAAACTAAATTACGATGAGAAATGGGAAAATGCTGACCACAGAACATCTTCTGGGCACGGACGCCCACAGCTACTAGCGAATCATACACCAAGGGCTAGCTTTTCAAAAACACATAATTTATGGCCTGGAAAACATTCCCATCTTTATAAGGCTTTCACATAAATCTCGAAGAACTGAATAGTTAATGAAAGAAAAAAATTTTCCTTTTCTTACTTAAAAAATTCAACAACGAAAAAAGCAGTCATTGAGTCAGTTCTGGAAATTTCTCTTTAAGACGAGAATAAAATAGAAAGAAGAAGAAGAACAACAAAAGAAGATGTTGCTGGTTTCATTCAAGTGTTGATGGAAAAAGTCTAAAATCCACCCAGAGGACCCCCAAAAAGAAGCAGCAGCAAATTCATTTCCATCTCGTCCATTCTGACTCATGGAGAGCCCATAGGGCGGATTAGAACGGTTCCTTTGGATTTCTAAGACTCCAAGTCTTTACAGGAGTTGAAAGCCTCTGAGGCGAGCATGCCAACTCATAACCCACTCCACCACCAAGCTCCTTGACAGTCAATGAAATAAATAAGGAGCCCCGGTGAGGTTGTGGCTACGCACTGAGCTGTGATCCACATGGTTGGGAGTTCGAAACCACCAGACGCTCCTCTGGAGAAAGACTGGGCTTTCTACTCTTGTAAACAGTTATAGGCTCGGAAACCCAAAGGCGATCACTGTAAGTCAGCATTGCCTCGATGACAGGGAATTGGAGCTCTCGGTTGGATCGGTGTTTAGCTTTGAACCAAGAGGTGGGAAGTTCACATTCATCCAGAGGCACCTTGAGAGAGAAGGGTTGACAATCGGATTCTGGAAATTCCTCATTGAAAATCCCATGCAACCCCGTTCTCTTGATACACATGGACTGGTCCCAGGTGGGTGTCGACGAGAAAGCTACTGGTACTGGTACTGGTTCAACAGTACAGACCCCGGGGTTTCCTATGCTGTCATGATCATGAAGGCAGATGGGCAGGCCTGTTCTCCATTGGGTGGCTAATGCATTCAAACCTTCGACCTTTTGATTAGCAGCTGAATGCTTGAACGTTGTACCACAGGGGCTCCTGACCTAGGGGAGAAGCAGTTCTACTCCATCATACAAGGCCAGGATGAGTCGTCACTGATTCCATGGCACACAGCAACTACACCACCACCTTCCAAGCAACCAACCCATTCCTTTGAGAAACTAACTGAGACAGCCATTGGGCACCAGAGTATCCGGACACAGAGATGATGCCTTTAGTCCTCATGGAGTTCTAATGCAGGGGGACAGGTCTGCAAACAAGGCAGAGGGGTCTAAGAAGTTACTGGTGTTCATTCTAAATTCTCTGAGTCATGAAACATTCCTTCTGCCTCCAAGCGTGAGGGCCTGTGTGTCTCTGTATTGGACAGAAACTAAATCCTTAATCAAATTTAAATACCGCCTCCTCTAGGATCCTAATTGCATTCCCTTGACCTTGTTGCATAATAAGGTTCAGTTCCCCCAGATAACAGGTAATCACAACAAGACCATGTGGTGCAAGCATCCCATCTCAGGCCAGACGTCTGATGTGCTTAGCGTCATTCATCTCCACAATGTGACCATCCCGTGGATGCAGATGGCAAGACACAGTCGTGGTTAACACAGCTGGAAAACGTGTGACGCGTTTCCTCCACCATGGTCATGATGGAATCACAAGAGTCTTGGGCAACTCTCCAACTACATGGAGTCTAAATGGCTAATAATCCTGTCAGGACACCACAGCCTGTTCCAAATGACAGCACCTCCTGGTGCCCAGGCAGCAACCTCACCGGATGAGCTGCTCAGTCATTTCGAGAAGAGCAAGGAAGTATCACGAATTTCCAG